CCCGGGCCCACGGCACAAGGTGCTCGGGCGGCCCCAGCCCTGGCCCTAGGACACACGCCGGCGCTGGGTGCAAGGGCATTTCAGTCCCCTGGCGTGCCCCCGGACGCGCGGCCCCGCCCCTGGGCGCCCGGCGCGTGAGTGGCCCCACCCCCGGGCGCCCGGGAGCCTCTAAAGATTGGGGACCACTGACCTAATGTGTTGAGGTGCATTTCCTGTAATAGGGAGAAAAGGAAGCAAGGGAGTCATAAGAGAGACAGAACTGGGAAGGGGGCTTATTTCCACCTCTGCCTCTGACCTGCTATGTGACCTTGGCCAAAATCAAATGAGTCCTCTGTGCCTCAGTTTCCCAAGCAGCAATAAGACAATTCCAGAGTGACAGAACGAATTACCGCAGAGGGAGAGCGAGACTGGGATGTGTGGGCAAGGGAGAAAGGGTGCATTGCCAGCTGAGGTTTGCAAAGAACGGGAGAGTCAAGAAGATAGAGAGGTGAAGCCTACCTGTTCTTCATGGTAGGAAATGCGGGAGAGAAGGCCCTTGCACCTACAGGGAGGAATTTATGTGGAGGTATAGCATGGGAGAGGGGGGAGTGCTGGATGACAGAGAGAGCCAAAGAGCAGACAAGGGAAAGTCTATAAGGCAGATTTTGAAAACAAGAAGGCAATTTCAGTCTGGCTCCAGAAATGGATGCGAAGTCGACGGAGCTAGAAGAAGACTGGGGTGACACAGTCATGCTTCTGAATGTACAGGAAGGCAGGGAGCAGCATTATATACACCCTGAACTCTGGAGGGCTAGGACTTTAGCCAATAATAGAGGAAGGATGTAAAAAAGGTTTTAAAACAGTAACTGTGTAACCATCACTAAATCCTAGCGGTTACATGATTAACCATTTGGGGGAGGAGATCTACGGCTGGGTGGAACTAGGAAGGGAAGGATAGTGAGGGGTGCCCCTGTGGCTCTTGGGGAGCTGGTAGCTGCCCTGCCCTTCAAACTGTGCAGTATAAGGCTTATGCGGCAGAGCCTGCAGCGTGGGGCAGCAACTGGTTCCCCGGGAACGAGCCCGGCAGCTGGAAGAGTGGGGCTGGCAGACCCCACAGTGCTGGCTCCACTCCCAGGAGGGAGCCGGCTACCCTGCACTGTGGGCTCTGTAGTATAAGAGCCCACAGTAGACAAGATGGCTCCCAGCACACACCAGCTCCCAGGCCCGCTCCCGGGGAGCCAGCTGCGCCGCAGGAGTTTAACCGTAATGGAAATCGATATGCTGATACTTATCAATTAAATGATTAAACTCTTCCATCTCTATAATAGAGGAGGCAGATACCTAGCCAGCGAATTATCCTTTCTAAAACCCATTTCTAATAGAGAGAGAGAGAGATGGGAAACATTCAATGGGACTGGTGGTTCCTTCATGCTGCCACTCAGCACCCCCGCTTACCACCCTGCCGGTCTTGCCTTTTCTCCTCCTTCAGTGCTTCCTTCAGAAAAAGAATTCCACGACGCGGCAAAGCGCAACGACGTAGCCAGGATGCGAGAGCTCATCAGGAGAGGGGTTAACGTCAAAGTCAAAAACAACGTAGGTGCCTTTTGCTTTCCAGCTGTGGAGGGGACCCTCGGAACTGCAGCCAGCACAGAAGGGTTAGCGTCCGCACTGCGTCTCCAGGCGTAATGGAACCATTCCTCTCCTCCATAGTGGCCCCCCTGGGCACAGCGTAAAAGCGCCAACCCAGGGCCGAGTAGTCAATGGTAGAACATGGCCATCAACACATTGAAATCCAGGGAGTCGCATCTTATAACTAAGCTACTGCCCCATTGCAATGCCTCCTGATGATGTGGCATTGTAGCATCTTTGCCTCAGTTTCCCTCCTTCCCCCACAGTCCTTGGGACTACTGCAGCCTGGCTCTCCAGTAACAGCACTTTGCAGAGCACGGCCCCTGCTGGAGCCACGGAACCCTTCAGCGAAGTCCAACAAATGTGAACAGAACCAAATTTTTATCCCAGCTGGGCCCAGTTGACAGCTGCCGTGTCACAGATGTGGCTGGTGGTTGTTGGCGTGGTTAGCCGCAGGCTTCTGTGTCCTGGTCAACCCCATGGCTCGGGGTGGGCAAACTCCTGCCCTCACTCCCTAGGATACAGCCCCTCAGAGCCTCTGGCCCAGTCAGGTTTCTGGCTCATGCCTGGAGTAGCCTGGCTGCTC